CGCAGTACGAAAATTACGCAAAATAAGGGCAACGGTAAGAATTTGTCGAATTTTTCAGCATTTTTTGAAAGTGCTCATTAGTTTTATTTCATAGATTGGCGATTTGATTAACCTCGAAACTGGTTGTGTGAAAAAAAAAAAACATCGCAAATATCGATGATGAACCCATTCGTGTTTACGACAAGTATCTAGATCGCTGGGAATCAACTGAAGCGTCTAAAATTCCATGGACCTATACACTTGCAACGAGCTATCGCATGAAGGCCAAACTATGACTTGAAGCATGTCGGATAGTAAAACACAAATACATTTGGTATAAGAAGGATGGATTGCGACGAGAAGATTTCGGAAAACTTAAAAGCGTACAAAATGTCAAAAACCACAATCGCTACTCATTTCTTTCATTTTGATCTCACACTATTTTATCAGTTAAATTTAAGCATGCAATGTCAATAAATTAAACAAATCTCTGCAAATTTGCGTTTTAAACCTTTTATTTGTTTCTGAATATATCCTATTATGTTAACATAAAACAAGATGTGATTTTTTTTATTAAATTTTAATCATTGATTTAATTTATGTTCGAAAATTCCGCTTTAAAGGCAAAAGTTATTCATTCATGAATGAATTAATTATTCTTCAATTGTTGTGAAGATACAAATATAGTTACGTCGACCTGCGGCACGGAATGGAACATGACGAGTTCGCATAAATGGATCGTATTCAACTGAACGTCCAAATGAACCAGATAAGTTACTTTCAGCGTTGGGTACATTGGGAACAGTTCCAACAATGTGCGCTTGTAATTGTCAAAACATTCTACACAATATACGTAACGGGCGTCGCTGTCATTGTAATATTATTTTACGTATTTCGACGTTGTGGAGAAAAATAAGATATTATATATTGGCTTTGTTTTCGTTTTTGATTACATAATGTTGTTAATATTTCAAATTATAATTCAAAGTGAATTTTTTTATTAAAATACAATAATATTAAACAAATTTTATTAATTTCAATTTAATGATTTTTATGATTTTTTCTTTGAAAGTACAACAACCACATAAATTTCAATACGACTGATCTAAATCAAGTTCAATGACATAAATAGAGATGGCGCGGGTAAAAAGTTCCCGTAAAAATAATTCTCCAATCTCATACAAATATAGACCGGTTGGTTTGGGCATATTGTGACGGTGGGATCGTTTCAATCGGTGATTGTGTGTCTGTTGTGCTTATTTTCACTGGGTTCTCTTGCCACTCAATATAGGTCCTCTGAATCATAGAGCCGCTATACCAGAGAGCAACACCAATGGAGATCAACCAAACTAATCTAAGTGAATGCGAATGCTGAGACAATTCTTGATCTCGATGTTCCATGATAATAGATTTTTTTAAATAGAAAGATTTTTGGAAGAAAATCACTTATTTTTAACTAACCACAAAGCTAATTAGAGTTTGAATTATAGTATGAACTCTAGTTTTCAACAAATTCAATTGGTTCTTATTGGTGTAACTAATAAATAATAATTAATAAAAATTCTTATTAGTTAGTAGATTTTTTCCATTAGTACTTTATTATTATTTAGTAATTCTTAGTAGCCACTAAGAAGCAATAATTATTATTTTACTAGCTACTAACAACTACTAATTATTCGGTCTTAGTACATTTTTTATTAGAATTTTAGTAGATTTTTCATTGGAATGTTAGTAGATTTTTTATTAGAATGTTAATAGAAATGTTATTAAAATTTTCTCAGTTACAACTTTCTCTCGCCTTGCGATCACAGCAATGAAACGACAACAACAATAACACATATTTTTACTGTCAAAGTTTTGATGTCAAATGGTGTCGACATTGGTGACGGTATTTTGAAACAGACTGTGTAATCCATATTCATCGTATATGATCCTATGTAAAGTTCTATACTTGATCTAGTTCACATTGACGGTTCAAATCGGTTATGTCCAATAGCGTGGACATGGACTGTGTGTTTCTTCTGTTACATGTACGTTGTAATGGACAAGTATAGTAACATGGCGTCGTTCAAATAAATTTAAAAATCCGTCCACTCGTGTCGACACCATCTAGCACGGTAGTAGGGATTTCATTGCTGTGCTTGCGATAGCCAAATGACGCCTATTGATTTAATCACGATTGGTATTCGCTTACTATTCAATAGGTATCACATAGCAAGTTTATATGAAACTCTCGGAGACTCGGTATAGAGCACTCAAACAGTGAAAAAAGTCCAGATCGTGATTTAGATGATATGGAATGCGATTTTTTTCATTCTGATTTCACCAGGTGATGCAGAAAGTTGAGTAGTATTTGAGAATTGAAGAAAAAAAAATTAATAATTTTTTTTTCATTTTTCGCGATTTTTCACCTACTACATGGGATGCTTGTATGAAAAACACGGAAGACGCTGAAATGGCAAACGCCAAATATATACGGACTTACGGCAGTGCCATTTCAGCGGTCTTCCGTGTTTTTTATACAAGCATCCCATGTAGATGGTGAAAAATCGCGAAAAATGAAAAAAATAATTAAATTTTTTTTCTTCGATTTACAAATACTACTCAATTTTCTGTATCACCTGGTGAAATCAGAATGAAAAAAATCGCATTCCATATCATCTGAATCACGATCTGGACTTTTTTCACTGTTTGAGTGCTCTATACCGAGTCTCCGAGAGTTTCATATAAACTTGCTAAGCGAATACCAATCGTGATTGAATCAATAGGCGTCATTTGGCTATTGCAAGGCGAGAGAAAGTTGCCACTGTGAAAATTTTAATAAAATTTCTATTAACATTCTAATAAAAAATCTACTAACATTCTAATAAAAAATCTACTAACATTCTAATAAAAAATCTACTAAGACCTAATAATTAGAAGTTGTTAGTAGCTAGTAAAATAATAATTATTACTTCTTAGTGGCTACTAAGAACTACTAAGTAATAAAATAATAAAAATGATGAAACTAATAATAATAAGTTTAAACTAATAAAAATTCTACTAATTAGTAGAAAAATTAACACCAATGGTGCGAATTTTAAAACTCAAGAATGTAAAGAAACAGTTCAAAACAGTAAATATCTTGCACAACTTTTAAAGTCCGTTGTTATTCACATTTATCTATGACCACGTACACTCAAATTATGAAAATAATTTCATTTAATCGGGTTTTATTCGGACCAGAATAACATGGTAAATTAAAATTGAATCAGCACACGCGAAAGGCTTTTAAGAAAATGCCAAACATATAATTTCACCTCTATTTCACCTTACAAACGCATTTGAATTTTATTTATGAAATTAAATATCAATCATTAAAATCATTACTTCAATATATTACGGTTTGATTTGTTTATTCGTGGCATTAAGTAAAAATTCAAACCTCAAAATTATGCAACGCATATACATATTTTACTTTTAGTTATTGTTTACATAACGAAAAATCAATGTTAGGATACAGTCAATGTGAATCATGTGGCGTATAACAGTGAATACAAACAATATATTGATTTTACTTTGAAAGATTGTTCACTTTTTCAAAAATGTTATACAAATTTATGGTTGAGAATAAAAGTGGGAATAGCCGAAACCGCTCTTTCGAACGCATGCCTCTAGTGAATGTATGACAAGAGAAAGAAGGGAAGTGTCTTCAGCAATATTTTGGATCTTCAAATCCTCAAACATTTCCGAAGACACTTCCCTACTATCTCTTGTCATACATTCACTAGAGGCATGCGTTCGAAAGCGCGGTTTCGGCTATTCCCACTTTTATTCTCAACGAATCAAATAGTACGTTGCTTTTCTTGTGCGCCCAAACATCGTCTTTTTATGCGTTTTGAGTCTAGAGAATCACAGAGCAACGGCATGTTGGACATATTAATGTGGGGATCTGGTACACTGTATTCTGGGGGTACTACCCCCTATGCAAAAATTTATTAGGTCAAACTTCGCTCTCATGATATGTCCATATGTTTATATAGAAAATGTACGGTGTGTGGGCACAAAGTGAAAGCAAAGACAGCGATGAAGTATATTCAGTATAAGATCTATAATTATATCCTTAATATATACAATTAGTTAAGCATATTTGAAAGATTTCTTTTTTCTTTCTAAATTTGATCTCAGTCAAAAGTAATAAACACTTTTGATGCCGGCGTTACTAGCACAAATCATCAGAATTTGAGAGTTCCGAAGAATGGGCTGGTGTTGCTTTTGAGCAACATTTGCCCATCGATCTAAACTTGGTGTACCTATAGCATTATTTGCATTAATTTGTTAACTCGATAGCTCTTCCCACAAAAGAACACAAAATACACATATTTTGAATGGCTTATTATGTCTAAAACGAAGACATTATTTGATATAATCACTGCTCATCAGCAACCAGTCGATGCCAAGTGGTGACACAAAGTGCGATGACGAACCCCATGATATATCAATTAAATCTTCGTAGCAAACTGAATCAGTAACAGTGTTGCATGCTAGGGGCTTTTATCTTCAAATGTATACGATTTATACTGTAAATAGTGAATTATATTGCAAAATCATCTGTAATACGCGCAAATAAATGTGCAGAACTGCATATATTTGGTGTATATTTCATGTATATTTCGTCTATGGCATGTTTTTTCATTCTCTTTTGTGCGGATCTTCTTCGATTCTGTGTAGCTATACTGTGTGTGTGTACACTGTACACTGTAGTTTAAAATACACCTTATTCTCTGGTATAGGCGAGAAATTTCAATCGTATATATGATGAATAAGACGTGAATATTGTGTATAAATTTGTATGAACGAATAGATGAAAGCCCCTAGGTTGCATGTGAACGACATTTATCAGTAGCAGTAACTGGCCAACTCGCTTGAATTTAAATTTGATAATAACCAAACAAACACAAACCAAAATATAAAAAAACGTGATATAGAATCATTATATTCGTGGTCTATGAACCATGATATATGTGCTAGATTACAAGTAAATGAAGAGTAAAAATCAAAACATTCTCTTATTATTCGTTGAGTAGTACAGTTGAACGTTGCGAAACGGTTTTTCTTGTAAAGATGACATCGAAATGCAGTTACTTTTTGGTCGTGTTGATCTGTGCCAAAGCGGTAAGAAAGAATATTTGACATTTCAATGGCCAATGGTAGAACAAATCAGTAATCAATTCTCTTTTAGTTTTTGGTTACTTCTCTGCCGATTGAGGACAATTCCAATGAGAATGCATTAGGTGAAATCTCATTAACGAGAGCATCCGAAAATATAGTGCCTGTGCGAGATTTGAGCGATGAGGATATTGAGAAAATGAAGCAGGAAATGTCAAATGAGCTAAGACCAGCGCAAATGGAGAAGTTTGTTGAAATTTTACAGAAATTCAAAAAAGGCACCTCTACGAAAGATAAAGTTGAAGGAATGGTGAGAAATTATAAATTTTTATTTAATGAATTATTGGTTATCAGAATGGTTTTTTATTCAGGTGCAATTAATTGTTTTCTCAATGGGAGTTAAATCGAGCATAACAAATTCCGACATCAATTTTCTTGGTGAAAGTACAACTGTGGACACAATCACCGAAAATAACATTTAAATTTTATTTTGTTGCAAAAACCTAAATCTTTGCTTTATTGGAATAAATTATAAGAATAAGAATTTTTTTCGAATGGTTTCTTTTCCTCTTTAACACCATGTAACATCCCATTTTATCACAAATTGATTTGAATTAAACAAACATATAACCTTTAACTAGCACATCTTTTGGTTATAATCAGTAGTCATAAGGGCCATGACTTGAGATTAATCTGTTTGTTTATGTTCATTATAGTACAGTTTGAAATAATCAGAGTACTTGTTACTTATAGTTTTACATAATAAATGCTTTTAATATTGAATATATTTTAATTTAATAAATAAATAAATAAAAAATAAACAAATACAATTATTCAAGTGGATTTCTCCCAAAGATCAAATTTGTTGCAAAGCGTGAAAATGAAGAGTTTGTATTATTGTTTGAGTCAGATTAAAAATAATGACTAGTCTAACTATATTGAACAATTGATCAGGGCCGGTATTCTAATACATTTTCTGATAAACTTATTCGGAATTATTCCGAAAAACATATTTGTATGAATGAATATTGTTTTGAATAAACATTGCAGCACATAGCGAGAATAACACGCATTAATCATACTTTTGGTAGTTACTTATTATCAGTGAAATTATTCCGAAACCTTTCTACATGGTGGAATTATTAATATAGTTTCTATTAAAAAAAATTATAATTTTTTGTCTTTTCAACATTTGGCGACAAATTGATGTCTATCAAAAGTTCCAAAATAAAACTCTAATAGGACTCTACATTTGTCGCCGAACGTTAAAAAGATAAACAAAAGTCACACACTCGAAATGTTAGCTATCGTCAGGCGCTGAAACGGACTGAAAACATTAGAAATGATTGTTATAGTGACTGTAGTAAAGCAAGTTTTAATATAATAATAACAATAACATCTATTGTTTTCACTGAGCTGAGCTATAAACAATAATTCCGAACGATTCTTGTGGAATTGTCGTAGAATACCAGCCCAGTTTATAGTAACAGATTTACACGAATCCAAGTATACACGCTGCATCTCCAAAAACTGTGCGGCTCATTCATCAGTCCATATGATTCCTGCGATTCAAGCAATACGAGCAGTTTGAGCAATGTGGAATTTGAGGAAATAAAATGAGAAATGTCAATTAACACCATGTCAAATTGAAAAGATTGCGGAAATTTTGCAGAAATTCAAAAGAGGCTCACCATCCACGAAAGATAGAATTGGTGAATATTGAATAGTTTCGATTGCTCGATTACTGTTTCCAGCATCATGATTTTTATTTTATTTCAAAAGAAAGAAATGATTTTTCTCAATGGCAGTTAAGTCAAACGCATCAGATTCCATGATTAAGAAGTAAATAAAATTGTGAGTAAAAATCACCAAATTTGGTTCGTGAATATTTTTTTTTTTTTTTGCTTATTGTGAACTTAAACATTGTTTGTTTAGACAATTACATCAAGTTATTGTTTTCGCATTCCAGCTTACTCATTTTGAATATTTTTGAATCATTATAGATTTTAATTCATGTTTTAATCTATTGCTGTAGTATTAGTGTCAACTTTGTATGCAGCGCTTTCCTTTTGTGGTTTTCCATTAAATCTTGGCGGCTAGAAAATGGGCAAATGACCTCTGGTTGTTAAAAAGAAACGACCTGAGATATTTTCATATGCAATAATTACTCACTGGTAAAAGAAAAGATAGGAATTGATCGCATCCGACGGTTATTGGATCGTAGTACGTCAATGTTTTATTTTCTTCCTTAGTTTTACCCGGAGCCGCATTTAACTACAAAACAAATATTCTACATTCTTTTCATTTGCCTTATTTGTATCATTTTCTCACCTGAATTACCATAAAGAACATAAGAAACATCAATACGAAGTTCTTAGCCATTTTTATAAAGAAAATATTTATGTTTCACACAACTGAATTGAAAGAAGCCTAATCACTTTCTGAATGACATCAAAATATGCCAAAACTCTTTACAATTGACATGGAGTTATATTTTAATCAAGTGAGACCTATTTTGACAATCAATGATGATTCCATTTTTTGTGTTCATTCTTTGGCTAATTGATAGGCCAAATTATTGTGAAAGAAAGAACATACGTCTCTATTCGAATGAACCAGAAATAATATTGGATTCGAATGTAAAACCTATGTGAAATAAAAATCTATATAAAAAAAACGCTGTGTTTTTCTTTTGTTGATTTTTAATTCAAGTCTGGTTTTAAATGTAGCTCATTCATATGTGAATAAATTCGATTTTATTTGGAATGATTTGATTCCAACTTTGTTATACTTTCGTTAGATTTTATATATTATAACATTTAATTTGTAAAATAAATATTTGAAATTTAACTCTCGAAATTTCAATACAGAAATTTGTTCGGTACTTTTCCAATGTAGCAGCATTCGATCAATTTCAAAAATTATCGCAAATATGAAACTGGCACATTTCTTTTTGAGAGTGTCGTAGTCAGTTATCACTTGTAAAATGGAATGCGAAATGAAATATTATTATGAACGTTCGGTACGAGGGTCCTGACATGAGATTATTTTGTTTATTATGGGACAGATAAACGCATAATCAGTTTGACTTTGTTGGAGTGCAGTTTCTTTGTTACATACTCAGAGTACTTTTAACGAGTGTGAACAATAGATTTGTTTAAAAATGGCTTTCAAATTGAATATTGTGGTTTTTGTCCTATTTGTGTGGCACGTAAGTAATAAAAAAGTGAAAAATCTTCGAGAAATGTGAAAATTAAATAAGTTTTTTTTCCACAAAGGTTTGCTTATCAGCTCGAATTCCTCGTCAAAGAGATGTCAACGACGATGCTAATTCTCTGGTGACAAATAAAAATGAAAAATCGAATGACGTGAATGAAATTTCACTACAATTAGATTTCGAAAAAATCCAAAACGAGTTGGAAAAAGCATTGAGCGACAATGAAAAAAATGAACTTGGCGCCATCATAAGTGATATGAATGAAGCAAAAACAGTCGAAGATGGCCTCAATGGAGCGGTAATTATTGTATACAATTTATTGAATTATTCATAAAAAAAAGTTCAGTTGAAATCTTTTTCGTATCTTTTTCATTAGATGAAATTGATCGAGTTCGGTGTGAAGATGGCTATGAACCACACCAATATATTTGAGCCATCAATAAACTCAACTTCGCCTGGTTTGAATGCACTTCAAGTTGTTCCATGAGAATTTGTATGTAAAATTGATCAAAATAAATATTGCTTTCAATGGTTTTTTATATTATGAAAGGTGGTCCAATTGTTTATAATGGTTTTTATTCAGTTTTACCCATTCTTGCTGATCTCAATAAGACTAAAGCAATTGCTTTCTTGTGCAAATCCTTCACAGCCCCAATTTGATATACAGATAAATTTGTGCTTGAGCACACACAAATCTAAATAAATTCATTCCATAGCACATGTGCGGCCATTGAATGACCTAACGAAAATCTACAAACGACAATTACTTGATTTTTACTGTACGTAAAATACGACTGTTCCCATCGGTCCCATATTTCTTATTCCTCTTTTTACATATACTATATACGTTTACTTATTCTGAATGTGGTTACCGTTTTGAGAACATGAACTCTCAATGCAAAGGCACACACACCACATTTCTGGGTGTATTACATTCATCCATTCAATTCGATAAATGAGTATCAATTAATCAATGCCGATGGCTTTTCGGAGCTATTCATTACACAAAACAGAATACTCCCCAAGAAACACATTTCATTTGTTTACGACCCCCCCAAAAAATAGGCCATTGTCCAAGCAGACACATTCAAATATTTTACTTTTTTCTTTGATTAAATATATCCTCGCATTTGGTACGATATGAATACCAGACAATATATTGAATTAACTGGTCAGTTGAGCTGACAGTACGTTAGCCAGCTAAATGGGCTAAAACAATAGACGTTATTGTTTTAATGATGGATCACTTTTCTTGTTTTAATAGAAGTGATTGTTCATTATAACAATAACTTCTATTGTTTTAGTCCATTTAGCTGGCTAACGTACTTTCAGCTCAACTGACCAGTTAGTTAAATATATTGTCTGATGAATACTGGTTTCTTGGGTTGTTATTGTAGACAAACAGAGATACATGATTTTGGGTAGACTTGTGCTGAATTCTATTGTAGCTCGGCACAGACACAAAATGTACACAAGAACGGATATAAATAACAGTTGTAATTATCTGGTGGTCTTGGTTTTTATCGATGATGCAAAATGTTCCAAAAATCGAGCAAAATGCATGTGAATGAATTTATACGTTGCTGTTAGTAAGTGTCACGATTACACTTCCAACAAGCAGATGTCAGACGGAGATTCGAGAAAAAAATATCACACTAAATTGCTGATTACGTCCAAGTCGAAACATTGACCAATGATGGTTATTCATCGCCATGGACTTGAACCAAAAACCATGTGTCGATTTTAGTTTCGATTTTTTTTCACTGACATTTCCAAATGTAAATACTTTTGAAAAAGTAACCATCCATCGAACTCCATCACATTAGTATTATTAGAAAATAACAAAAGGAATCTCTATTTTTGTTGTTGTTGCAAACTTGCCAACAGCATACTGTTTCTTATGCTGATACTGCTCAAAGTGGATCGATCTCTTATTTTTTATCATACAAAAGAAAGAATCACCTTATGGTGTTCATGATGTGCGAACGTGCATTGAAGTGACATGATAATAATTAGAAAAGTTTCCAAAGTTTTATCATTTCCTCAAGGTAATTTCGAAGCAATTTTAAACGTTTGGTAATTTAAAGCGTCAGCAACATTGCTTGCTTCATGCTATGCACTCTGGAGCTGATGCCCAATTGCTATTGCGTTCTACTTACGAACCATTTGTAAAACCTTCGCAAAATCTCTAGAATACAAATGATCCATTTTTCAATGAAACGTCTCTCATCATCAGTTGTGCTATTTGACTTGAACATACTTTTATCTATTACATACACTAGGTGACACCCAAGCGGGTGGTTTGGGCGAATTAATTTTGGAATCTCAGTTAAATTGCATTGTCATCATTATCTATTGTTATACACGTTAAATCGATTTTCCAAATCCTAAATTAACCGATTTTAATGATTTACTCTATTATCATTATTGCAAAAGAGAGCACCGTAATGAGCATGCAAGCAAGCGGTGTTTTGTAGTCAATGTGCCAACGGCACTATTCGATTGATGTCACGAACTTAGCCAGTAAATGAACTAATTTCTGTAGCCACATTCTTGCACGTATTTCGCTCAAGAAAATGGCATAAATTTCCATAAAACGTTCACAATGCACACATTACTGATGAGCACTTACGCTGGTTTATCTTCTTTTTGCCATAGAAAACACATTAATCGAAAGCGTTTGAACGTTATCGTTCTCCATTCGTTATTGAGAAAAGCAATTACCTCATGACTTTGCAGCATATTTTATGGTTGCAACGCCAGGGCAGCATGGCGTTTTAAAAATATATATTTTGTTTTCAAAGAAGTTGAAAAGGATGACAACAAAGAGAAGAATGCATGTGCAAAGGCATCATTATGCTTTGGTTCGCTTATCACCGTTTTTTTTTTTTGTGATTCAATCCAGTGAAAAGAGAAATTCGTGCAATTGCGCTAACTCATTATTTGGAAAGTTTGAATAAGCGGTTTGGTGGCAAAATTAAATAGTTAAGTAGGAATTTAAAGTTTTATTGAATGGATTAAAACTCGATTGAAATAAAACTGTTCGCACTGAATAAAAAACCTGCGTGTCTCGTAGGAAAAAAAACGTACAACAATATGGTAGGCAAAATGAAAAGTTGTTTGCATGTTTGGGTGGAGCCGCCTCTTTTCGATATGAATGGAAAATTTTTGGCAATGGAATAATAAAAATATTTATCTAAGATCCTTAATATTGTGAAAATACATATCAAACATTCGGTATTATCTGACAGAAGTAATGGGAGCGTTTCAAAAGCAATGCGCTGCAGGCGAAAAAGGCTTTTGAACGTATTTATTGCAGACACTATGATGGCAATTTTCATTCCGTGATTACGTTTTTTTTTTCTTTTACTCTATCTTTGTGAGTTTTTTTCTCGTGTTTTCCCCTAAATATTATAAAGAGAGCAATACTGCTGTGCTGCTGAAAGCGCTCTATTTAGATAGTGTAGTTTTCTGTTCAAGTGAATGGCTTATCGTATATGCCAAGAACAAGAAGCGCCAAAACTACAACAATTCGAACATCATTCTAACAAATACTATTTAAATAAAATGCGATAGAATGAGAAGTTGAAACCATATTTTCGATGCACAGAGTTAAAATATAGCTATGCTGTGGTGCACTGATACCGACAACGACAAACAGAGACAGAAACGGAGACAGTAAAAGAAAAAGAACAAGAGCAGTGGTAAATTATTATAAAAGCATCCTCTCACATACATACAGAAGCACCGAAAAAAGAAACACGGAGAATAGATTGTATAGAAGCGCTCAAAAACTGAGATAAACAAATAAACATTGAATGCCTTCCCCAGCGATAAGCCGAATCCCCGACGTTTCGCGCAACCATATAGAGTCTTCTGAAATGTTCGACAAAATTTTACAAATATGCAAACGAAATATTTTCATAGGAGCTGGCTACGAAACATTTTTTTTTTACTTTCTCTCTCTCTCTCTCTCTTTTATGCTCTCACTGTCTCTATCTCTCTCTCCATCTATCTCTTCTCCACATTTTGTTGTTTTTCTTCCATTGCTGTTGTTTATTGCTTCTCTAATTCGAAAGCTGTTAGTCATTATCATGGCCGCTTTTTGCAGCCTCGAAACATAACATTGTGCAATGGAAAATGGTAATAAAATGATAAATTTTTGGGTAAAATAAATGGAGAAAACAAGATTTGCTATCTAATAATCATGAGAGTTTGCAAAACACTTAAAATTTTCATTATGCACACAATGCTCTCGACACATAGAAATCGTGCGATTTGTGTGTATGTATGTGTCTCTTGCATGAGTTCAAATCACTTTGACACGATTTTATAAGCTCTCGGCGGGTCCGAAACATAAAACGCTTGAATGCTCATTATTATTAATTTATACACACAGTGCCAGCGATTGGCCGTAGTTCGGCTACCCCATGTAATGGTTGAGCACCAGTTTAAATTTGGACTATGATGGATTTCACATGAATAAAATGCACGGACGTGTTTGACAATTCACATCTCTGACATCCAAATGAATCTAAAGCGTGCGTTTCATTTTTATGACAAATAACCAAACTCAATGCAAGCATTTTATTTTCGTTTTTATTCTTATTTTGTTTTTCAAGTAATATGAATTATTAACATCTGCAAAATGTTTTTCCCGGCAAACTGAATAAATACAGTATTTAGCGTGTTTTTTTGAATAGTTGTAGCGGCAGCATCAATGACAGCATCTCATATATATTGCAATTTAAATAGATTTTATTTCGAGAATAGCGCGTGCATCGCAAAGAACGACCCCAAAAAAAAACAACAAGGAAACAAGAACTTTAAGCATTCACGTACGTTCAAATGTAATATTTTACTACTTTTGTATTGTTGTTCGCCGAACGAATGAGCGATGCGATCGGCGGCGCATTTACAACCCATGCATACAACGAAACAATCGTTCCTCGTTTAACATATGGAATTTTGTGTGCATGTATGGATTTTGTTGTTGTTTTTGAAAGAAAATATTTGTTGAAATATTGCAAACCAACAACTCTGAGAAGAGCGTATGTGCTTTGCAAATATTCGAAAGTTAAAAGATGGCATATACGAAACACTTTATGGTTACGTTACGAAATATGATGTATTTATTTGATGTGGTTGAGTTTAAATTACGTGCCATTGTTGTATTTTCCTGGTTTTATGTAACATCGAATAAAAGTTGTTAGATTCTATCCATCCTTTGTGTGGCGCGTTTTTGTGTTTTTTGGTCCACGCGCCAAAAATTCGAAATACAAAACGAATAAATGGATCCATTGAAAGTGGCGAAAAACATAGACGCATGCACTTCAAAAGAGAAGCAAATGAATGATATAACGGGAAAGAGGATCAAGAGTGGGATGTGAAAAGAGCTAATATTTTGAGACACAAAGACGGGAGCACAAAGAATGAGTATGTCATGTTTGTGTCGTATAAATATCAGCAATGCAGCGATGTATATTTATGAGCTGCATTTCATATAGTAGTTACATATTCTAGGCGAACAACAAACCATGGAAAAACAAACAGAGAAAAACTGAACAGCATATTTCACAATAAATGAAGATAAGCTATGCACATCAGACCCGAATGCAATTTCGTTACCGATTTTTTTGCATCGAGACATGTTTTGGTCCTTTTTGGGAGGTAACTCATCAATACCGGGTGTCGTTCAAAAGCGTCTAGTTGTTTGAAGTTATTTCGACAAAATAAAAAGGACCATTTCAATTGGAGGGACGAACGGATGCCTTTTAGCTTGATTGTATCACAGCTGTGGATGACTTTTCACTGAAAAATGGATTAGCTGAAGCAGGCATAAAATGCACCCTTTAAACTTGAAAATCCTTGTGACACACACATAAGCTTCGAAAAAGGAAAAAAAGCCACTAAACAAACTACTAAAACTGCAACTGAAATAATGTAGTCAAGCGAATGGTGTATGTCTCTCTGTGTGTATACCAGTAGGTTATATATTTCTGTATATTTCATAATGTATGCGAAGAATTCCTACACGAATTTCGAAAATTTATCCCATTTAAATTGAAAACGATTATCTGTCTCCCTTTTACACTGCATTGTTCATCCATTTTAGCCCGGTTTTTTCGTTCATATCTTATTTGGCGCTTTTTTCATTTTCATTGTTTCCTGTCTCTCATGAATGCTGTTCGCATGAATTTATCACTTTCCTGACAATGCAATTTTACGTTGATATATTCACCACAAATGCATGTCACTTTGTTGTGCATGCATTGTGTATTTTATATGCATAAGTATCACGATAAGTATATGTATTATAAAATGAGAACTGTTGCCATCGAGTTTATTTTTTTAACCACATTTTTTTTCGAAACATTTCCAACCAAATTTGATGTGGCTTTCCGCGAATAAATGTTTACATTTTGTGTTACCGTCGACCGTCGACCGAAATGAACTTTCATCAAAATGTATAAAAGCAAATTGATATACAGCATACTTAACCAACCAACGCATTGACTTTTTACGGAACTGGTATCTTGTTGCTATGATAGCAAAAATAATATTATGATAAATCTGGTTTTTAACAAAAGTATTGGAAGAACGAAATACGGGGAACTTTAAATAATCACAAAAACATTCGTTTTTTTTAAATTATATATAGTATTCACTAAAAAAACAAAGAATTTTTTTCTTGGACATTCATATGAACAAGATATAATAATTTAAATGGCCAGCGGGTCACAATGATTGAATTTGTGTGTAGTAATATAATTAAATTAAACTACATCATTTAATATGCCTATTTGAATGCAATAAACATCGGTATAGTACAAATAAATATTGTGTCACATGATAATTGGAAATGAATTTATATTGAGCTAACTATTCCTTTGAAGTGAGATGAAATAGCCAGCTTTTTGGTACATTTAAATTTTCAGTAAAAAAACGATTCATCTACGTTGAAAAGTATAACAAAAATTAAGTTTAATATTGCTTATATTGTGGGATAATGCAGAGTGAGTAAATGTCAACTTCAGCAAATAGATTGTGTCTACGTTCATAATTGTATCATAAAGCAGCTGTCCGTACTATAGCCACAATCTATACACTGGTCAACTCTTATTACTTTTACTCTCGGAATCATGCGGTTCGTCATCAGACTCCCCTGATCTTCAGACTCAAGTGAATCGACTAGTTGTGGCCGCAGTGAAAAAACATCATAATCGCAGAGTGGCAGTAGCATCGTCATTGCAATTGAAAATTCTTTTGTCTACTATTATTCAAATCTTGTATCGATTTTTATTGATCACAGCATGGTAATTGTGGGGCGCTGTCAATATTCTAAGAGAAAAATAAGTTTGAAATGAATTGAAAATCTTGAATAACTGATTGGAAAAATGACAGGATTGTGTGGTGCGTCGAACAGTTGCGATGAAAATAAAGATGATATTGATTTGATACGAAAGGCGCTTTACACGCAATAAAACTTCTGAAGATTTCAAAGAATCCGATTCATTGCATGAAGCATTCCCTCGATTGGTATATTTAATTTTTACTACCATATAAAAAAGAAATCGGTTAAGATTTGATTTTAATTTTGATTTTGCAGAAAACTCTTTGTGACTACGTTGATTCAGCCGAAATGAATTCTGATGAAAATAAAATTCCAATAGGATACGGTAAAAGCTGCAATCGCTGTGGCTGCACACAAGAACAACATCAACCGAACAAGCTACCGCATTAAAGTAATGTCTCAATAAACGCTGAACCACACGAAAATCTGTTCAATTCTGAAACTTTATGGGCGTTAAGCAATAAAAAAAATATTCCATACACAGTAAGCGATTAAGAAATGCTCATGTAATTTCTCCGTTTGACGGTTTTATTTTGAAATAATGACCATAAAATCAACAATAAAATTATCACGACTTAGTTTGCGCTTTTAATTTGCTGTGTCTTTATTGTGTGTTTACTGTTTATTTCACCAAATAACGAAATAACTAAAAAAAAGCTTATCAACATAACTACATGAACCTATTTTATAGGTGAAATGTTTTAAACGTATACGTTTTGTAATTGATTATAAAATTGTTGATAGTTCGTAATAGCTCTCAATACAGAGACTCAGAGTCCAATAAAATTGAAAATCGCATTTTTAAACTCATTAATCCTACTAATGCAATAAAATATTGCATTAGTTTATGCCTACAAGTAGACTAATCTTCTTCTATCTTTATGGATTAACTTACTTTGTCATTTTCAAATCTGTAAAATTCCACAACATAGTGGTAAAAGTGTTTTAATTACTGAAATAAATACTTTATGTACATCATCCAATTAGTGTATTTGAAAGCAATAAACATAGGCATGGTTGTTTACAAATAAATGCTGTGTCTCAAGTTTCTAATCTGACATTTTGGTGTAAACAATTCTATCGGTAGTCGATCAATTAACTTTATATCATGGTGACACGATGAAATTATGAAAAATTTCGATTCTTACTATCTCTTACTTTGAGTTATGAAATATTGACAATGTCATCATTATATTGGGGGTGTGAATTAATTTCCATCGTTTTTTTGTTGAAAATGAAAGTTTATTTTAAAGAAATGAACCAATGTGTTTTATTCAAAGTATTGTCTATCGCTAGCCACTACTTTGGCCTACCTCTCAGGAAATTTTCAGATTCCATATCCAAAGGAATGTTAGTTTTTTTCAGGTATCTATTGACCAAGTCATTTTTCGACTTTTTTAAAGTTTGCACAATATTGATCAGAAACGGTGCACTGCATCGATTGAAATGAGTGGTATTCAGAAAGAGGGATGTTCAGCGAGTACAGCGGGGGTATACAGATTCTTATCGATTAATTTTTCAAACAACTTTTAATGATTTTGCAAAAGTAAAAAAAAATCACTTTTTTAAAAAATCTGGTAATTGAATTTTTCAGCAAGTTTCTTGTAATTGTTCTGTTAGTTTTCAACCAAAAACGATCAGCTGACATCAATAAAGATCATCTGTAACACTTTTGATGAGTTGTAATTCGATCAAGTTTGATTACGTCACCCATTTGGCAGAATCGCGGATTTTTGGATTTCTCGTCAATTTTTGTGATTCAGCTCAACTCACATATGGTTTTTTATGCTTGAAATTCTTGAAATAGATCCCACCTTTACAATCAATCCCAATTCAATACGAAATTGATTCCATTTGTAAATTTAGAGCGATATTTGATTAGTCTTATATTGTTCTTCAACCAAACTTTCCTTCTTTTCGTATTCGCTACAATTTTCACCACTTTTAGGATATGTAAATATTTGATATCGATCGCATTATTCATATTTAGTCAATCCATAACTTTTACATGCATTTAACGTAGAATTTTTCGCAAAAATGAGTGAAATAATTCAACTTGAAAGTTTTTGGTGAATTTGGAGTTTTACACCAAATTCACCACTCAGTGTTCACCAAACTCAACATTTTTGTGTTGGAAACGCAAGGTCTTGTTAATCTCAAGGTTCCATAATGATTATATGCATTTCTGATTGGATTAAAGTGAAAAAAATTAAATTCCCGCAAATGATGTTATTTTGAAATGATCTCAGATATTTTCGATGCAGTAAAAATTTGTGATGTTTGCAATTCGACCAAATAAAATGTGCTGATTCTTATAGCATTTTGACAGTACTTTGACATAAACTCATTGAAATTGTCATTCCAATTAGAAAATTCAAGTTACTCCATCTGGCGAAAAACGATGGAAATTAATTCACACCCCCAATATTTGGAAAATTAATGCTTGTTTTGTTTTCTATCTGTTCATGATTTGACTCCAATGATTGACCCTTGATACAAAAATTTGCATAGATCATGATTCTGGATTCCAATTTCATTTTTTTAATCGCATAAACTGATATAAATGTAGTTGACAATGGGTATAAAAGCATTTGACACAAACGAAAAATTCAGTCAACTAATTTTGATCAGAGAATCGTAAATTATTCAAACGTCTGAATTACATCGAAACGGTTGTAAAATGAAGAATTGTTTATACTTATTTGTGTTCGTTGCTTTGGCGGCGGTGAGTTGCTATCACCATTTATTCTGCAATAGAAGTTATTTCAAAGTCTTCATTCATTTCGTAGATTGGTTCGGCACGTTATTTGCCAAAGAAAGAGCACGTCAAGCAAACACCACAGGAATGGACTGAAATAGCAAAAAAACTGGGCTGGAATGATAATCAAACTTCGGCTGCTATTGATTTAATGCAATTCATTCAGTACAGTGAAGTCGCATCAGCCGAAATGGACACCAACACCGAATGGAAACAATCGATGGTAACATTTATCATTTTTAGTAAAATATGAGTAACACAGAATAATTTGGAATTTTCTCACTACAGCTGGACAAATGCCTGAAATTGGCCAATTTCGATAAAGTCAATGAGCTCAATGATCGCGTCGGTGACAAGAAATGGAAAGATGTGAAAGACACCGACTTTACAACAAAATGGGAATTCTGGAATGACAAATACATAACATGGAGCTGTGAACATGGAAAAATGATGGCTTTGGTTCGTCCAAAAAAACAAAATATGCGAATCAAACATGAAATGCTAATCATTTTTTTTTTTTGGTTCGTTAGAAAAACATATGTATTGTTGTCACTGAAGATCTAAAGAAAAAAAAATATACAGAATTGGCCAAATCTGCCGGTTATAAAGAGACGCAATGGAAACCAATTGCCGACATGGTATGGGAGATGGCAAGCAGCAACTCGACAGGATTAAAGAAATCAATTTTGGTAGAAAAAAAAAACAAAAAAAACTCTTTTATTCTCTTGTAACTATTTTTTTTTCATCAGGCCGACCATTGTGAAATGATAAACGACGATGGTGTAATGTTTGAAGTCAATGAAAAACACACAAATGGAGAAAAATGGTCAGATCAAGCAGACAAAAATATTACCATGAAAATGGACTTCTGGTGGAATGTGATGGTAAAGGCACAATGCAGAGTTGCAAAAATGAAGGCAATGGTACTCAAAACTCACAAAATTCTGTTTAGTTCATTCAATCAAATATTACGCTTTAATTTGTGTCGATGTAGAAAAATCTTTGTGTGGAATTCATGTGTCCTGTAGAACGTAAGGAGATCGAAGGCTTCGCCAAAGAGGCTGGAATACATGATGAAGATATCAAAGCAGCGGTTGATCTGGAAATGAGAATGCGCTTAGTTAGAACACAAGACGAAGCAAGAGATATATTTGTAAGTACTTATTTTCTGAGAAATATAATATTGATTATTTTTTAATTGAACGAATAATGCATGAAAAACCACCATTCTTAGAGAAAGGACCACAAAGATTTGGGCAAGAATAAATATATGTTGGAACCAGAAATGACCAAAGAAGAGCTTGAAGAAGCAACCAACATTGAAAAATCAGAGGACTTTATCAAAAAAATACGTTTCTGGGCACATAAATACCACTTTTCTACAGGCACAAATCGCATGAAGTGTTTGAAAAACATGTGCGTTATTGTTTCACAAGAAGAAAAGAAAAACGAATTGAAGACAGAGACGGCATGAATTTGCCTCACTATAAATTGTTTAGAACCTTTGATTTAATCTCTTTCCATTTTTAAAGTAGAAAATGAAGTGCATTGTAAATTTACCAATCATAAATAAAAGATATTTTGTTATATAGACTGATAGACAGTTGAAAATTACTTAAAACATCAGATTTAGTTACATAAATAACACAAAACAGACTACTTTCAAAGATATTAGTGTGGACAGTAGACTATAGTTCTATACTGTGTTTTATTTATATTATTACATAACAATCTGAAATGCGACGAAAATACAGAGGTTTGTAAAGATTTGAAACACTATTCTCGCTGAAATTGTAGAATGTAAACTATGTTGGGTAGTAGAAAGCTGAAAATGTAATTTTCCACCAAATTTTGAAATTGGGGTCGTACAGTTCACCAAGCATATCGTTTGTATTTCGTATATGCTGTTCTTCACGTAGAAACAGAGTATTGCTCAGCGCTGCTGCCATCCACAGCATATTAAAATATCTTGCTGAGAATGCGTCGTCCGTCGCATGCGAAGGTACGTAGCAGTTTTTACATCACAGTGAACAAGAATGTATGCATTGTTCTCTTCATGATTATGTGACTCAAAACATTCAAACGATTGATTAGAGAACAATGCAAGTATTGTTGTTCGCTGTGATATAAAACTGCTACCTACCTTCGCATGCGACAGACGACGCATTCTCAGCAAGATATTTTAATATGCTGTGGATGGCAGCAGCGCTGAGCAAAACTCTGCGTAGAAATCTCTAGTAAAAGTTGTCGAAAATTGATACAATTGAAATGGATATTTTTGATATTTGACATTCGTTCAGAGTTTAAAAGTTAAGAATTTTTCATGGATCCATGTGAAAAAATTATCTGTCACAATACGACGATTTTTATCAAAAACTATTATTTTTTATTGAAGCAAAATATATTCAGCTTACAAATTATGAAATAATATCGGGAGAAATCATAAGAGTACCGAAATAAATTGCAAAAATGATCAAACATCTGTTTTATTATGTGTATTAATTACCAGTTGATGAATCTCCGAACACGAAACTGTAAACTGTACAGTTTACAAATAAACAGTGACATACTTTAACCAACATCATTGAATATGGCTTATAAACCGTTTGAAAATGTGATATTTAATTATATCAATTGGAATAAATGTATGCGCATATTTTCAAGTACTCGACAAATCAACAACATCAACAAAACATTCTGTGCAAATGAATCGAAATGAAAATCATTCAGATGAAAGTAACAACGAAGTAGAAATGCGAATTCTCAAAATTCGAAATCGTATTTCACGGATGTTTTTGAATAAAAAATTGCATTTGTTAAAATAGAAGTATTCTTGTTGAAATCTAATCTAAACGCCAATTTGACGACAAACATTAATGTTTTTCGTAGGATAAGAATTCTTCTTTTCCTGTTTGCGTGTGAAAAGTGTGCGTGTGTATATGCCCAGGCTTGCGCGTGTGTGTGTGTTTTTTTGTATTCTCACTCTGCTTGCATATTTATTGCGAGGGAGCGATTATCACAGACGATTTGGATTTATTTATCTAAGAAAATACGCAATACATGGATTTGAATGCGCCAATCGTATGTTCATCAGATCAGAAAATACACGAAGCAATCAACGAAACACCGTTTGAGTGATTCCAAGGTTTGTTTGTTTTCGTTTTATTTCTTATCATTGTATTTTGCTCAATGCCGAATAACATTTTCAAAATTGGAAATTTCACTGCAGGGAGAGATAAATTGTCGTGATTTGAATGTAATTACGTGAACATATAAAATATATGAAATTTCAGTAAATCGATGGTGTGATTTTGACTTTGTTTGCCATTCATGCCATCTCCTTCATTTTCGTGGCCTTTGTTTGATCTAAACGATTTGTGTACAGCACACATGAATATTTATTGTTACCTGCACGAGTGGGACATTTTTCTTTTTTATTCAAGTCATCCATTGGTAGAGTGGAACGAATCGGGCACAGTGCGGTGATATACCAGTGCAGAATCTTGATTTGATGTTTGTTTGTTTGTTCTACATAAATATAGATGCAATAAATTTTGAAGCAATGGAAACGATTCACATCGATGATTTTGAGCCAATAAAGCTTATCGACACTCGACATTTTCGTACATATAGCTAGTAATTTGTCAGACTTAAATGATAATTTTTTACATCACAATAATCGAATTTATCATTTTTCTAAAATAAAGATTTTGGTTGACAATTTTTTTTTATTGAAATGCTACAAACAATTAGATTTTCACAAAATGATTTTTTTCTATTTTGATCAACAAAAGTGTGTCAACAATTATTTGTATCGCAAAATTAATCTCACATTCGGATTTCTTGTGCCAAAAAAGTAATAGACATTTAAAAAAAACGATGTAGCAAAAGTGGGTCAGTTAGAACATCAATTTTTTTTATGAATACATTTATAATGTCTGTCCGACACGATTAATTGGTTACAGGGTGAGCTAAACAATTTTTGATAAATCGAACCATCCTAATGACAATATCCAACTGTTTGCTTCGTCGCAAGCTCCAACATAATTCACTCTGCAAGTGTTTTGAACATAAGATAGACGCTCGTTACAGTTTTGAGTATCTAAAATGATGTGCCTGTATGAATTTTATTGAATAGGTTATAACCGCACGTACTTACACTTGTGAATGTTTCCAGGTTCAATTTTAGTATGCCATAACCGCTAAAAACGCGTGGTTGATGTGAACTTCGAATCATTAAAATAATATATTTTTGAAGGTCAACTGTCAACAAGTACCAATCCTTTTGGAAAATTGCATCAGCAAATTTTTGAAAATTAATCGAAACTGTTGCTCCAGCATAGCAGAATAGATACAAATTGCATACAGAGAAAAGTAACGCATTTACATATGCATAGAAATATATATCAAGATGATGAATCGCCTACAATTTGAGATGTGCATCAAAAGAATAGAAAGAACAGAGTTAAAAACCAACAAGTTGCAAAACAATTTAGAAATGAAAACTTTGTAACCATGTCCATTTGGAATAATGAAGCTGCTATAAATGAAGCTCCGCAAACTAACTGTGCGAACAAAACCCCGGCATACACTATGCTGACTTCGACAAATAGACTGGACAATTGAATGTTAATGACACATAGACATCGTATCACATTTCAAACTACTTACTCCTTAACTGAATTATGAAATCGAATCACTCGTTGTAGCACTTGTTTGACATTTTGATTGAAATTACTTTTTTGCGCATTGACCTCATTGATTATTGATAAAATGGCATCGAATTGGTGTCGAAAGGCATGAAAATGCATGCACGTGGCCAAAAAGAATGATAAAAAAATGCAATTCATTAAGAAATAAGTGCCAGACATCCAAAAACTGCAAAGCAAACCATAAAACCATCCAATAAATGTTTCATCTTCCCACGGCAAACTTGAAATGAACGACAACATATATAGTTTTAATACATTTCTTTGAGATGTTAAAATCAAATAAATGTTTACTTACATGTGTTTGTAAGGTGTATAAAGACACGTTGTATCGATTTCATTGGCAGCTTTGATGTAACAAAACATGACATTGACTAGCGCAAGTGTGACTGACAAGACATAATAGCCGAGCACATATTTTATTACCAGCGCATTTGTGACCTTCGCAGCAAAGCGATTGATTTTGATGAGAATTTGAAACGATTCGTCATGGGCACCTGTGGAAATCAAAAATTGCCATTTATGAAATCGAACAAAAAGAAAATGTTGGCGACGGAAAACGTGGAATTGTGCCGATAATTACATTCTTTATAAATCATTTGAAAAAGCGAAAAAATATTTCGAAGCCGTTTGGATAGCATAAAAACGGTAACCATGCCAAAAATGTTGCTACTAACAGCGGCTATTTGAAGAATTGAACCCAAAACATCTTCCAACTCACGTTTTTTATATTGAATTAAAAAAAACGAACTTGAAATGAGGTCCAAACAAAGCGTTACAAAGACATAAATCCCAACAGCGGCGTTTAATAACATTTCAGGTCGTGTGATATTGTCGGGTGGTGCGCAAAGGCTTACCAGAGTCAAAAACTTTTGATTCAACTTCAATGGCTGCATTTTTTTAATCTTGAATGAGACGTTTTTTTTAATGATATTGATGATGGGGCCACTGGAAATGCAAACAAAATTCAGCAAAATTATTTTAATGGGAAAATATCGGAAAATTTCATTAAAATAGCATATATATTCAAAAAATGATGAAATCGGAAATTCCTTCGTTTCTCAAAGTAACTTATCTTTTTGCTGATCACCTTTTCTTTAAAAGAATTATCCTTTTTTGGCACGTACTTGAGTTGCCATTATGAGCAAGTGACATATTCCTTTTTTCGATGTGAATTCAAACAAATTTCAATAGATTTGCTATTTGAAAGACCAACTTCTGTGATAGTAAAGTGTGTACACGTTTTAGGCGTTGCTTAACGTAAAAAATCGTTTGAAAGGCGATTAGATAGAATAGAATTGAACGATGCGATTTGAAAAGATTTTTTCAGTACATACATGATAATGTCAGTGCATGAATTGATAGCTCAACAGCTTTCCGAGTAAAATGCACAATAAAGAAAATATTAAGAAAGAATAAAATGTGAATTCGTATTTCCGGATGGTTTAATGGGTTCGATAAGCAAACTACATATTGAAATGAAATCATTATTAACATATTCAAGTTGAATAGTAGGAAGACGTGCATGATACTGCAACGTCATCAGCGCATCGTTACCAACGTTATAGTGATTGTAACAATGGAACACATTTGTTCACACCATTTTAGCGCCTGACGAAAGCTGCCTGAGCTGATTCAGCTGGCTGAAAATATCTCAATATGATGTCTGCAAATAACCAATGCAATTGATAAATTAGAATATGGCTGGTGTTTTAATCAAAATTAATGTATAAATTCATGAGAGAAACGAAGTAAATTCTCAATTTTCTTATTTTCAGAAACATTAATTTCTGGCTCTTCTTGTGGTCTGAAGGGGTTAATAAATAGCAGTGCAAAAGAAGATTAAGAAATGGTAATGAAGAACTATATAATTTATGTGCAAAGTGCATG